TGTTGCTCTGGCAAGGAGTTTTTTGGGGGGGAGTGTTCCAATGGTGGGTGGGGATGCCCTCAAGCCCTGCCCCCAAGAGCTACCACCCACCCGGCCACCCCTCTCCCTCCCCTCCTGCCTGATTTAAAGGGCTTCAGCTGATTGGTGGGACCATGTGGCCCGCTGACCAGCTGGAGGGCCCTTTAAATCTAGCAGGAGGGAGGGAGGGAGGGCATGATCACAGGCCACATGCTCAGCTCACAAAAAAACCCTTCCAAGCAGGGGTGTAAAAAATAAAGCCTGGGGGCCGGAACCGGCCCACCCAGACCTCTTACCCAGCCTGCAAGCTACTGGTATGTATGGAAATGTAACGTACTCCCCCTTTTATGGTATCCCTTGGGAAAAAAACTAGTCTCGATTAAATACCTTTATTTGGGCTTTCTCTCTCTCTCTCTCTCTCTCTCTCTCTCTCTCTCCCCCCTCATCTTTTGTGGGTTCCCCAGTGAATCAGTGCCCAACAAAGTGACATTTATTTCAGATCCGGCCCTCGTAACAAATGAATTTGATACCTCTGCTTTAAAGGGTCTTTTTGCAACCTGGATGGGGGACACGGTGTGTGGGGCTGGAGGAAATCTCTGATCTCTCTCATCTGGAGATCAGTTGTAATTCCATCAGTTGTAATGCCCACCTCTCCCCTTTCCCTGACTCATTTCCTCTTTTTCAGCTATTCGCCAATCTACCTTTTATCTGCCTCCCGTCTTCACCTGTATTTGTTTTTTATTTATACTGTATTTTTATTTTTTGTTTGTTTTTTATTTATATTGTATTTGTTTTTTATTTATTTTATTTTATTTATACACCATCTTTCTCCACAGTAGGGGCCAAAGCAGCTTACATTATTTTCCTCTCCTCCATTTTATCCACATTACAACCCTGGGAGGTAGGTTAGGCTGAATGAATGTGACTTGTCCAAAATCACCCAGTGACCTTCCACAGTGAGATGGGCATTTGAACCTGGATCCCCCAGACCCTACTCTGAACAGCAGCAAGCAGCAAGGTCCAGTTGAATCATGTCACCATTCCATAATTAAGGATACATCAGTCTCCAATTCTGACATATTTGTTTACTTGCTATGTTTCCCCCCCCGAGTTGAACTCAAACAAATGGTATCCATATAAACTAAGCCTGTTATTGTTATTCTGTTAAAAAACATCTTCATTATTCTGTATGCCAATTTGCTGCCCACCCTCTATAGTATGCCTGTTATTTCTATTTCCATTTGATTGTATCTGAAGAAGTGTGCGTGCCCACGAAAGCTCATACCTTTAGTAAACCTTTGTTGGTCTTAAAGGTGCTGCTGGGCTCAGAATTTGTTCTTATCACACAACAAGATAGATTCATTCATTATCGGAAGCTTATACTTTGAATAAAACTTTGTTGATCTTAAAAGTGCCAGTGGACTCAAACTTTGTTCATCATACAAGGATCTTGTTGTGTTCAAACATGTGATCACCTCAATACTGCTCTTGTTGAAGTGTTTTATCAAGTTTTAAAAGGTGGATTCCAGCATTCAAAACTTACGTAGGGTGATTTTCCACTAGCGCTGCTCCGCGCTCACTCCTCCCTTTTGCCCAGATGGTACGTGTCAATTTCACACAAGCCGCTGCATGGCCGCATTTTGCCCCCCCGCTTTGAGCGATC